TGTTTCTTTTCTTTTTCTTCTAACAATTGCTGTAATCTCTCTTCTTGTTTATTTTCTTTCTCCTCTAGCCACTGCTGTAATCTTTCTTCTTGTTTCTTTTCTCGTTCTTCTTGTTTCTTTTCTTTTTCTTCTAACAATTGCTGTAATCTCTCTTCTTGTTTATTTTCTTTCTCCTCTAACAACTGCTGTAATCTTTCTTCTTGTTTCTTTTCTTTTTCCTCTAACAACTGCTGTAATCTCTCTTCTTGTTTATTCTGTTGTTCGAGCTGCCACTGTTGCAGGTTTTCTTGCAACTGCTGTTGTCTCTCTTCTTGTTTCTTTTCTCGTTCTTCTTGTTTCTTTTGCTGTTCTTGTATTGCTGCCATTAAGTCTGCCAGCTGTAGGTTTGATTTTCCGCCTCTCGTTTCCATTTTTCTTCTCTTTTTTTTTCCGTCCCACTCTCTGACACCAATTTGTTACTATCGGTTTGTTAGTTAACTTTCCGTAACTTCGTTCCCACGAAACTTTAGCGACACAAGTCCTTACTTAATAAAACTGGTTTATTCTTTCCGAATATAACTTTACGATACACTTAATTTCAACAATCGCGCTAAAACAAACGCTATAACATATAACAACGAATGTGCTCAATAATACTCTCTGACTGCAGATCAATTACTCACTGTCTACACACACTATTCCGTCACGTTGTCACCCTCTTTTATATACCAGACTACCCTATATCTAGTAAATGCTAGAGCATTCGCCAAGGTACAGGATAGTTCTAGAAAGCAGAGGACGTGAGAATAGTCACGTGATCTCGCTGACGCAACACCGGATTTTAGTGTTGTAAGTCCATAAAGTTACCATTGACCCACAGAAAGACCTTTCCAAAAGGAATATTATAATATTGAATAAAATATTACAGCAAAACAGCATGATAATGATGTTTACGTAATACAAAATATCCATCCCCCCTCAACACACACACACCAAACTGCAGTAAAATGTACTCAATATCTGATTAATAACCAGGAGTATTACAATAGGTTTATCGACTCTGACATTGACCATACATACCAAACAAAGAAACCATAGTTTTATCACATTGTTAACGAGAATTCAAAACAACTTCTATATTAAAGTGGTTAAACGCACTACAATGAAATAACTAGGATGTTTAGAAAACAGTCAAGCAAAGTATTTAAACATCAAACGTATATTGAACATTATTCTTACAAATGACGGAAAAGGGAAGATTACTTACAATTAATATTTTGTTCAGACCATACAGAATGCTTTTTTTTTTCAGATATTGTGGATTGTTGAATATCTCCCATTTCGTGCACGTGTAATTTATTCACACTATCATAAGAAAAAAAATTAATTAAATTACGTTAATAGTTGTTTCAAAGTTCAGTCAAAAATGCGCGCCTTTTGTCACGAAATGTTGTTTTAACTCAAACAATTATAACGCACTGGCCTCGGGCTAGTAATAATCTCTCTTATGTAAACGACAACAGCAAAATAACAGAGTCTTCAAGATGTTATTATCATACTTAAGGTTAAAGTAAACCCGTTAGAAAACTATTGCAAAAGAATTTAACAATACAAATGTATTAACCACATCACTACAACAAATTTGAAATTCTGAGCAACGATTACAGTCGATTGTACAAATAAACGAATTTGCTATACAGTAAACAAAATATTTGTCCTGCGGCAGTTTTTCCAGGGTTAGCAACATTTTGTAACGAAACGTGATAAACTGTGTTAACGTTTAGCTAAGGGCATTTATAATTGTGACGGTAAAATGGCTTCACTGAATTGCTCGAAACTGTTTACTTGCACACACACACACAGATATGTATATATATATATATGAAATGTAGTTAAGAATATATTTACTCAATAAATTAGATAAGTGCATTACGTTCTTGAGGAATGCGGTAATCACTGCCATAAGAAGCAATTTGGGAGTGGTTAGACCATTGTCATTTCTTGGGGGATCTAGGGGCATGAATCACAGAAAAGTTTTGAAAATTAATGCTATGAGATTAAATCATGAGCCATTTTAATTACAAATACTGCATACACACAACGTAATGTATTGAATTAAAAGAAGCAAGTTTTAATACACGAATTGTAGCTATAAATGCCATGAAAAAGTGATTAGGCCATGGCCTGACTGAGTTTCTTAATCAATCTGAAATTGAACGAAGTGTATTCACCCCTAGACCTTACTACACTTTAAATATCTAGAATTTCAATGAAACAAGACACAAAAAATGTGAAACTACACGTACATACACACACACATAATATATATATATATATGAATTTATAACAAATTATAAAAGATCATTGTTTTTAGATATATATATATATATTTAAGTATTACATCATTGTGTGTATGTTTGTCATCAAATGTGTAAACTGTAGTTTCATGTGTAAAAACTAAAAGTAAAACAAATTCTATAGAAAGTCAGTAACGTAAAACCAACAACAACCGTATATTTTCAAATAGGTTAGCTGGCTTAATAAAATAGATGTACAATCAATAGCATTTGCCATAGTGTAGATGTGGCAGCTCGCAAAAAGAGAATGGTGATTGGTTAGTTTATATCCAATCAGAATAAAATATGAGACCACACCTGTTATACAGCCATTCATAAGGTCACCTTCACAACACTAGGTTTAATTCATCGCCAGCATTAAGTGGTTTGTTGTTCCTGTTCCTTTATCGAGCTAGCACTCTTTTCATGGTAAGTTATAACGTGAAGAGCACAGTGAATGGGTACGATGAAGAGGAGAAATTTTCTTTAGGAACATAAATATGTTGTTTTATTTTATATCAGATAACTCTGATTTATTTCTTTATATTTTGAGCAATAATATGCTTTTAAGACTTATTGGAATTTTTAAACTTTCAAGTTTCATATAGCTATTTACAATATCTGAGAAGTCTTAATTATTGAAGTCAATACTATAATTTGTATAAAAAAAAAAAATGTCGCCTGAGTAATACTTAGTTGTACTTTAATAGTATATTTATTATGAAGTCTATGATTGTTTTTTTTACATATATTTTGTATGATCTGTCCCTGGTCTTAAAATAGTTCGCAAGGAACACATAATAATTAAAGAAATGAGTCGATAAAGAAGGGTGGTTTTAATTTTTGGTAATCTTGACTTCAACATTTCCTAACTTTGAAGAAAGGAAAGGCTATCGTTCGTTTCGGACGGCTTTCCTGTGTTAGTCTAAAAGCTACACATTCCTACAGGGTTTCTTATGCAGTGCCTGATGTAAACAGAAGAAACTAGTCATTTTTGATCTATCGGATGGGTAAGATAAGTTTGTTTTTTGGAAAACTGTGTAAATTCTATAACCGTGAGGAAAATAAATGTAAAAAATACAGGGAAATGTATGAAGTTAATTGAATGAACTTGTTGATTTAATGTTCTTTATGCCGCTGGAAATGTATAAGCACCATCTGGTAATGGTTTACGTTGTTGAAATATTCACGCTTGCACCTTGCAGTCAATGCTTGGAAGTTGGAAAACGAAATACAGTCAGCAGCAGACATTCGCAGACGCAAGATTGTATATGTATGTATCTTCAGGATGTAATATTTCTAGTTACTTCATATAGTTTGTCGCGATGCATAACTTGTTGACCTCCGTTCTTTATTTCATAATATATTTTTACGATTGATACATTTAAATTACTTGCTCTAGCCTTTTCGTACAGCTTCATGGTTTACCTTGACAACTGTCAGAAGCTTGTTTTATTATTATTATTATTATTACTATCTGTTTGTCTAAATAAATTAAATAGAAGTGGTGTAAACTGTAATCGAACTGTTTGTTTTTAACGAAAAGTGAAAAACCACCTATAAATAATATTTGGAAACCTAAAGCATTTATATAAGTATATACGATGTATTCAAACGTTCACGAGGGCTAACTTGGATACTACGTTTTTAGTTTTAGATCATTTTCTATATATGTATAGCTAGTTATCTTAACTAGAGCAGTTGGGAGTTCTTAGTGAGTTTTAAAGACATCGAAGTTAGTCTATTGATCATAATTGGTATAAGTCTTTACCTGATTTTATGGAATTTCTTTAGTGTTATTATTATTAATTTGATAGAAGAAAACATTTCTTTCTCCGAAACGTATTGCTATTAGTCTAAACTAATGATCGTACTTTGCTAGACGCCCTCTTTTTTTAGTATATAAGCCGGGGATAGATTGAAGAGATAATTGAGTCAAGCGTACAGTAGGCACCGTAAGTAAAGTGTGTGAATTATAGCGTGTGTTTATAAAAGTAGTTAAGTTTAAAGTGACTGTGGATAGTAAGTGTATTACAAAGTTGGTAACGAGAAAGAATAAACTAGTTTAATTAAGAAAGGACTTGTGTCGCTGGAGTTTCTCGGAAAGAATTTTTAAATTTTCTCCCATACATATTGCTATTAGTCTAAACTAATGATAGTACTTGAACTTTATTTTTAGGTTTAAAATTTATGGTAGTTTTGTGGCAAATTTTAGGCCCCCCCTTTTTTTGTGCGTTTTCAGCGTTTAAGCTATAGTTTGTAGGTTATGCAAGATAATTATAAAAAATAAGTTTTGGTACACGAGAGATGTCGATGAATTTGTGAAATCTTTCATTCTCCTAAGAAGCACTTGAATAAGACAACTTACTGAAACAGATAAATCGGGTATACATGAACAGTCTTTTTCTGGGACGTTATGGGTCAAGGTTTGGGAGATAAGATCATGTTAGTGAGGCCTTGGACTCCTAGGGTTGTTTATTACTTCCCTGGATAACTGGGGCTGCATGTATGGCCTTGGGAAGAAAACGTAATCTAACACGAACGCTTTTCATGCAAGTTAGTAATATAATACCGACGTAAGTTGGTATAGTCACTTAGCAACAGTCGCATCGCTGCTAAAGCTATTATGGAGTAATACTTCCATTTTAATGCTGATTCCTGGAACTACTTGACGTGGATACTACTGCGGTTAAAAACAACACCATGTGTTTAGAATTGAGAACCTTTTACACCTAACAAACGTACAAAAAAAGTAGGAGCTTAGTAATATCTAATAATCGGTTTACAAACCAAACGGTGTTCTTTCATTAAGGGTTTTATTTTAATATCTCGATTTGTGTTAAGTTTCTTCTAAATGTGACACATTTTCTTGGGCGTGTTCGTTTCACGCGAAATGTCGAAGTACAGGCTGAATCTTCATGTCAATAAAAAAAATATATAAAGGGAGAGGGAATTACTAAACATTATTTCATTATAAGCTTTTTTATTATATTTTTCTCCTTCCCTCTAAACATGAACGTAAGTTTATATATATTAAAAACATGCATGATCTTGAAATACTGGTGCGAGAAATTTTTAGTGTTAATGTGTTCTAGAACAGTAGGCTTTTGTGCAGATTTCTTGTTAGCACTGCCATCTGCCTTAGTAACCTGAACTCCGACAAAATTATTTGTTTTCAAATGATATTGGAGGAGGGACTGATAACAGTTCAGGGCAACATACAATATTAATTTTTCGGTTTTAAACTGAAACGCGGTTAGAGTCCCACACGTGCTTGTCCCTCCCTCGCATGCGTATTTGCACGTTTTTGTAGTTTTCCCAGTGCCAATATGACTGAACATAATTTTTTGGTAGCGAAAACCAATTACTAGATGGTGAGACTTACCTGGGTATTTAATATTTTAGTGTAATTAGTATAGGGATGGAGTGGGGGAATTGAATATCAAAAATAAGCGGAAAGAAGAAAGTAACCTTGATATTCTTTTGTATGATGAAAGAAAAAAAATACCATAAATTATGGAACTGTGCTACCACCTAGATTAAATTAATTTAACAAAAATGATTAGTGATTGATAACTACAAAAAAACATTCATTAGAATGAGGAAATTAATTTAAAAAAAGCATAAATCGCCACCACCTCCCCAAAGCTAATGCATAATTGAATTATTACTATGTAAAACAAATTATTTTACTCATGATTAGCTAAGCTTATTGCTGTCTTTTTTTGTTATTTCAGTATAGTTAAAAGCATAATGAAATACAGCTCTTTAATTTTTCTTTTGTATTATAAAAAGTTTTTAATATTGGGCAAACAAGAATATAAAAACTTGTTATTTGGTCATAGGAAAATGAAATGTAAGTGTTACTGTATAACTTCTTGAACCAGGGTTTTCGTAGTATGCAGTTGATCGGAAATTTTGCACCTGTAAAAATATTTGTGCAGTTGAAAATTCGCCTATATAAGTAAGTTCAAATTGAGGAATATTAAAAGAAAAACATTTAAGATTAAAATTCCATTCCAGAGTTGATAAACAAATGTATTTATTAGAATATTTTTTTTTTTTTATCAATGTTACTAGGCCTGTATATATGAGGCGCAATAAAGTGTCGTGTATTATAAAATGATAGTTAAAATATTGTTAAGACAGCGGAAGTCACGCGACTCTGGGAGCATGCGCGCTGGAGTTTCTAGAAGGATATGACTTTTGGGGGGGGGGGGGCTCGCGAATGTCCTAGTGTTTGCTAGACGCCCTCTTTTTTAGTATATAAGCCAGTGAT